GCGGATGCAGGCCGGTAAGCCGGCACAAAAGCAGTAGGAGCAGTAGTAGAAGCGGGGAGCATGCTGTCATCTCGAGCCCCACTAAACAGGGGTTGCAGCTCAGGCCGCTGCCGCCACAACAACGTATCCGCCACAGAAAGAACTTAATGCACTCCCGAAGCAGACAAAATGGCTCGTGATGGGCATTTCATGTAAGAAAAATCGGGAGAATCACCGCGGCGCCCTCCTATGCGCGTATCACTAGCAAGGTCCCAGTCTCGTGAGCGACGAGCGAAAGCATCATGAGCCGGCATCCCGCAGGTAATCGCCAATAAGGGCGAAGTCTAAATTCTCGTGGGTGGTGAGACCTAACAACAAGCAACGTGGTGGTCGTGAGCAAAGCGTGCCTCGTCGCACGAAAAGGGAAGAATCGCGTCCAATTCTCTCTTACCGTGCCTGCCAGGTTGACGCCAAGTTTAAAGGAATGCCCGCCCGACGGTGGCTTGCCTCCTAGATGTAGTAGATGTAGATTCTGCCGTAGACACTCTTGTCCACGAGCACGTTGAGATGGGAAGGTTGCTTGTTATTGCAGAAGCGGGTCTGCTACAGGTCTGAGGTGAGGCGGATTGCCCTCAACCTGGGGGCACGCAGATAGCTAAGTCCCGATGGGGTACGTCCTAAGAGGGTATACCTCCTGACGTCCCCCATCTTAATCTAGACCGACTGTGTACCCTATCTGTGCCAGACAGCAACACTCCTTAACACATTTATGCTGTCGCTGGGGGATAGGAACTTTTTCGTCTGTCAAAAAAACTATTGTTGTCGGTCAATAATCTCCCGTTGTGTTTTTTTTTTTCCTCCCATCATTGGACTCTGTCGTCTGCCCCTCTGGCCCCTATCCTCCACTTCTACTAATAGCTAGACGACCCAACCGGGGTCACATAGGAGGGGGGGGCTGGACCCCCTCCTGCGGTTCCTGCCTGAGGTATTTTTATCGCGAGAAGGGTACAGCAATCCCTTCCCTCGCGACTTACGAAGTCGATTATTGTTTACTGACAACGAGCGTTCTTTGCAGCGCGTCGCTTTCATCCTATTTAGACCATGATTTATTTAGTGAGAAAGAAAGGAACTCTGCCGAGACTCGAACCCATGATCTGGCCTCTATCTAGCAGGCTGCGAGGTTACCCACTAGACCACCGGGGCGACCGCTGTGTATGTTGTCCCGTACAGTGTGCATACGGGCTATCTATCTACTGCTGCTGTGCGTCGCACATATTTCACACCGTTTGTCAGGTTTACAATAGCAGAATAAATGGTGACGGCGGTGTTTTCGCGGGGGAGCGGTCTCCCGTTGTTGCTGTCGTCCTCGCACGAAATCCATATGGGGTAGGGCCGACCGCTGCGTACGTTGGTGTTCGTAAGTTTTTTTCACGAGTGCTTTGTACCCTATTTTTTTTTGTTCCCCCGCGGCGTCGTATGTGCCGTGTTCCGAGACCACGGGCTCCCCATGTTTTGTTGACTATAGAGCTAATGTGAGAAACAACAACAACAACTGCATGCTGTCTTCCTTCCACAAGAAAGGTATCACCATTTTCCTCGAACTTCGAAACTCGTCCCGTCCTCGGTGACTAGTAGTCGTGCCACGCATACTCTCTCTCGTCTGCACTCCCTTGTGCATGGGGGAAATCACTTATAATCTATTTCCGGAGGAACAACAGACGCCTCATATCTGCCACACGTGTGCGTCACCGCGTAACTTCGACCGGCGCCGCACTTCCGACACTGGCCTCGTCTCCTACTGATTTCACTCCTCCTGAGGTACTCGACGTATTAATTGCTACCTACCACAAATTAAGTCTAAATGTCCACCTCATCAATCACATTCTTCCTCATTCCAGAGTCCGTCATGTTCTGGCCGCGGGGGCTTGGCCCTAAATTGCCGTTCAGGGTACAATTATTCTGTTTTGTATTTCCGAACTTCTCTACT